AAGCTCACCCCGTGCTTACCCCAAGCTCACCCCGTGCTTACCCCAAGCTCACCCCAAGCTCACCCCAAGCTCAACCCATGCTTACCCCATGCTTACCCCATGCTTACCCCATGCTTACCCCATGCTTACCCCATGCTTACCCCAAGCTCACCCCAAGCTCACCCCATGCTTACCCCATGCTTACCCCATGCTTACCCCATGCTTACCCCATGCTTACCCCATGCTTACCCCATGCTTACCCCAAGCTCACCCCAATCTCACCCCATGCTTACCCCATGCTTACCCCATGCTTACCCCATGCTTACCCCATGCTTACCCCATGCTTACCCCAAGCTCACCCCAAGCTCACCCCATAGCATGCTAACACGAGAAGAGAACAACCCCTGAATCAAGGGGCGCCCGGGCGAGCGAGGCCAATGAGGCGGAGGAAGGCAGAGTGCGCAGGGCGAAGGAGGGCCTTAGTGAAGATGTCGGCCAAGTTGGCCTCGGTCGCAATCTTGCGAACTGCAATAAGGCCCTTCTGGACGAGCTCGCGAACGAAAAAGTAGCGGAGCTCGATGTGCTTAGAGCGGGCGTGATAGACGGGGTCCTGAGTGAGATGGATGGTGCTGGCATTATCGCACCAGAGAGTGGGGCACGTCTGGGGGGCGCCAAGCTCTGCAAGAAGAAAGCAGAGCCAGCGTGACTCCTGGGCGGCCATGGTGCCAGCGTAGAGCTCGGCCTCGCAGGTGGAGAGAGAGATGGCGGAGGAGCGGGTGGAGCGCCAGCTGATGAGGCCGCTGCCAAGGGTGAAGCCGTAGCCCTGGGAGGAGCGGCGGTCCGGCTGCGTGTCAGCCCAAGAGGAGTCACTGAAGCCTGAGAGGAGAGGAGGGGAAGGGCCACCAAGGGTGAGGGCAAGATCCTTGGTCCCGCGAAGGTAGCGGAGAACCCGCTTGGCAGATTTCCAGTGCTCCTCTGTGTGACGACCGGTGCCGACAAAGCGAGCGAGCACGCTGATGGGGTAGGCGAGGTCGGGGCGGGTGCACATCATAGCGTACATCAGGGACCCGACGAGCTCTGCGTAGGGGTGGGGGGAGGAGGTGGGCGAGGTAGGTGGAGCGAGTTGGTGGCCGAAAGGGAGGGGAGTGGAGACAGGCTTTGCCTGCGCCATGTCGAATTTCTCCAAGACCTGGCCGATGTAGTGGGACTGTGAGAGGGTGATGGTGCGAGCAGAGCGGTTGCGCGTGATGGCCATGCCCAGGTAGTGAGTGAGGGCGCCAAGGTCTTTGCACTGGAGACGCTGCTGCAGGGACAGCTTCATCTGCTCCATGTCGGCCCGGGTGTCAGAGAGTAAGATCATGTCGTCCACATATACCAGAATGAAGAAGCGGCGGGGGGAGGAGCGGATGAAGAGGCTGGCGTCGGAGTGGGAAGCAGCGAAGCCGAGAGACCCTAAGGTGGCAGCCAGCTTCGCATGCCACTCACGCGGTGCCTGCTTCAAGCCGTAGACAGGGCGACGCAGCTGCCAGACCGTGTTCTCAGGGAAGGCTGCGTGGAACCCGGGGGGTCGCCGGAGGAAAATGCGCTCGTGCAGGTCACCCTGCAGGAACGCGTTGGAGACATCCATGGAATCGATCTCCATGTTGTCACGAGCGCCAATGTCGAGGGCGGCGCGAAGGGTGGGTGGTTTGGCGGTGGGGGCGTAGGTGAACCAGTAGTCCTCCGCCCAAGTCTGCGTGAACCCCTTGGCGCAGTATCGTGCCTTGTACACCGGGTCCTCGCCCGACAGCTGCTTCACCCGAAAGACCCATTTGCCGTCAACAAGGTTGGCGTCGGCTGGGAGGGGGACGTCGACAAAGGAGTCGTTGCGAATGAAAGCCTCACACTCCAGGAAGATCGCCGCTATCCATTTATCCGCGTCGGGGCAGGTGATGGCTTCCTGGAAGGTGGAGGGAGTGAAGATGGTGGGGGTGGTGGTGGCGCCAAGGACGGGAAAACCCAGGAAGTCAAGGTAGAGGGAGGCAAGGAACGGAGTGTGCGCCCGAATGTTGAGAAACTCCTCATGGGAGTCCTCAAGGAGCTGAATGGAGGCAGGAGGAGGAGCCCCAAGGATTCTGTCCACAGAGCGGGTATGGATGTAAGGGAGGAGGAAGGGGGAGGAGCGGGAAGTGGCACGGCGCTGCTGCTGCTGCCGGTGCTGCTGAAGCTGCTGCCCCTGTTGCTGCGGCTGCTGCGGACCGTGCTGCTGCTGCTGCTGCCGCTGCTGTCCCGGTTGCTGCTGCTGCTGCTGCTGCCCCGGTTGCTGCCGCTGCTGCTGCTGCTGCTGTTGCTGCTGCTGCTGCTGCTGCTGCTGCTGCTGCTGCTGCCCCGGCTGCTGCTGCTGCTGTTGCTGCTGCTGATCCGGCTGCTGGAAGGAGGGAGAGTGAGAGGAGGAGGGAGAGGGGGGGGGGGGGTGCAGCCGAGTGAGCGGGGGAGGCGGGTGCGGCAGGGTCGTAGACGTCGGCGGAGGAGGAGGGCGGGAGCGAGGCGGCGACGGGTGGGAGAAGGGGGGCTGGAGGAAGAAGGGGCGGGAGGACGGTGTCGGTCCAAGCGAGGGGGCGAGTGGGAGGGGGGAGAGGGTCTGGAGGAGGAGTGGAGTAGTAGGGAGTGGATTCGTCGAAGACGACGTCAATGCTGCGGATGAGGCGATTGGTGGGAGGGTGGAGGAATAGGTAGCCTGGGGAATCGCGATTGTGCCCCAGGTAGACGCACTCCAGAGCGCGAGGGGCGAGCTTGCCAGCAGCGCGGGAGCGAGTGGCCGGTGGAATGAGGACGAACGCCTTGCAGCCCCAAACACGAAGGCCGGCGGCGTCAGGCTTGGCCTTGGACCAGAGTTCTGTGGGGGAGGAAGAGGGATGCTGAGGGTGGGAGCGGAGATTGAGGAGGAGGGCGGCATGGAGGAGGGCATAGCTCCAGAGGGAGGGAGGGGTGGAGGCGTGAGCAATGAGACAGCGAGCGATCTTGGTGATCTCGCGAATGCGACTCTCAGCAATGCCATTTTGCTGAGGGGAGTGGGGGAGGGTGGAGGTTTGCTGAATGCCGTATGTTTTGCAGTAGGTGGAGAGTGTGTGATTAATGAACTCACCCCCACCATCAGAGTGAAGGCTGCCAATGGGGCGTTTGAAGTGAGTGCGGCACAGCTCAGCCCAGTCGATGACCACGGCCGGCACCTGGTCTTTCGTGTGAAGAAAGAAGGTGGTGGAGTACCGGCTGTGGTCGTCAACGAGGACGAGCATGTACCTGTGCCCCTGTCGGGAGCGGATGGGATAGGGGCCCCAGAGATCCATGTGAACAAGGTCAATGGGTGCGGCTGCGAAGGTGGGATGACTGTGATGGGGTGACTGTTTGAGTTTGCCATGGATGCAAGAGGGGCAGGGGGGAGCAGGGAAGGAGGGGAGGGGAGGCAAGGTGGGAGGAAGGCTGTTGAGGAGGCGAGAGGCGACGGTGGTGCGAAGTGCGGCGAAGTTGGGATGACCGAGACGGTGATGTAGGAGAACGGCAGGGTGGGAGAGGACAGTAGAGGAGGAGGGAGATGGAGTGAGGGAGGTGGCGGGGGAGGGAGAGGGGGAAGGTGGAGTAGGGGGGAAGGGTAACTGAGGAGGAGGGGTATGAGGAGGAAGAGGGGGAGGCGGACCGGTGGAAGTGCCAGCACGCGTGGTGACATGGCAAAAGGATGGGCGGGGTGTGCGGAGCGTATAAAGGCGAGTGCGAGGGCAGAGGGGAATGCGGAGGAGGAAGCAACCGGAGGCAGTGTGGTAGAGATCACAGTAGGTAGCGAAGCCCGGGTAAAGAGCGGTAATCCCAACACCCTGGAGCTCACGGTGGGAGAGGAGGTTGTTGCGGAGGGTAGGGATGTGGAGACCTGTGACTTTGCCAGAGGGGAAGGCGGAGCAAGGGAGAGTGGAGAGGTGAGTGCAAGGTATGGAAAAACTGGAGTCAGCGCCATGGACTTGAGTGGGAAGTGGGAGGGGGGTGAGGGTGTCAGCATCCTTAAGTGCAGTTTCGGTGGCCCCACTATCAAGGACAAAGTCCAAGGTGGGGGAGGAGGGGGAGGGAGGTGACACAAGGTACTGGAAAGAAGTTTTATTGATAGCAGAGGGATACATGGAAGCGACGGAAGGTGCGGAAGCAATATGCCCAAGGAAGCTGCCCTGAGAGTCAGGGACACTGGGGGGGGCAGAGGGGAGGGAGCCCCAGGGGGGGGGAGCGAGGGCGGTATGCGCAGCCATGGCCGCGGTGCCGAAGGTCATTGGCTGCTGCTGCCACTGCGGCGGAAGGTGCTGCTGCGGCTGCAGCTGCTGGAAGAACTGCTGCTGCGGCTGGAGAAACTGTTGCTGCTGGGGGTGGAAGAACTGCGGCTGCTGCTGGTGCGGGAAGTACTGCTGCTGCTGCTGGTGCTGCTGAAACTGCTGCAGTTGGGAAGGGGGTGAAGGGGTGAGTTGGCGGAGGTGAGCGGGGAGGAAGGAAGGGAGGGTTTGGATTTCAGCAAGGGAAGGACGAGGGGTGACACTGTTCCAGCGAGGGGGGGTGCCAGTGTTGCCACGATCGAACCAGGCGTCATCAAGCGCCTTGAAGCATGTGGCAGGGGGGTGGTTGGTTTGACCACAAGGAGTGCCGGCGTGGGGGCCATGACGGCGGACATAGGTGCACGGCGGAAGAGTGCCCGGGCGACCTCCACGGCTCACAGTACCACCAGCCCCAGCAGGACCTCCAGGAGTGGCACTACCACCTCCACCACCACGGCCACCTCGACCACCACCACCACCGCCCCGACCGCCACCGCCACCGCCGCCCCCCCCACGACCTCCACCGCCGCTGTTGCGACCACCCTGGTTGCGCGGCTGCGTGGTATTGAGGGAGGTGGAGGAGGAGGACTGTGGGGTGGTGAGGTTGACAATGGGGGTGCGGAGCTTGACCTCTGTGTCAATGATCCACTGGACCACGTCGTTGAGGCCAGCCATGGAGTTTGCCTCAGTGAAGGCATGGAGGCGGGACTCGTAGTCCGGAGTGAGGTTGTAGAGGAGGCGATGGATTTGGAGTGGTTCGGGGAGGGCAGCTTGGCGTGCCGCAAGGCGATCAGCGACCTCCTGCATGCGCCCCACATAGTCAACTGCGCCGTCACACGTAGCGAGGGTGATGGAGAAGTACTCCTGGAAAAGGACGCCGACCGAGCTGATGTCGCGACGCTCAAACATCGCCTGGAGCTCGGCCCAAATGAGGGAGGCGCGCATCTCGCGAGCTTGAAAACGGCGCATGAGAGCGTCGGGGAGTGCGCCGAGGAGGATGGTGCAGGCGCGGTTGTCAGCGGTGGCCCATGCGATGCTCCGAGGGAGATAGTCTGCCATGGCCGTATTGTACTCATCAAGGAGCGCCAGGCGATTGGCGCGTTCCGCTACCGCGAAGTCGTGGTTATGTACCGCAACCTCATGCTCCGCCTTGCGGATGAGGTACTCGCGGCGATCGTGGAGAAAGACGGCATCGGCGGCACTCTGGAGCGCTGGGGTAGTGGCGATCTCCAAGGTGGGTTCAGCAGGAGGAGGGCCAGGAGGAATGGGGGGTGGAGGGGGTTCGCCAGGATGATTGGGTGCCGTGGGCTGGAGGGCTTGCGGGCGGCGGAGGAGGACGTCGAGGACGCAGTAGGGTCCGACGAATGCATCCTGGAGAACACGGCGGATGCTCCCGACGAAGGAGTGCCAGTTGATCGCCGAGCGGTCCGCGGCAAGCTGAAGCTTGTCGACGGAGGAGGCGTCAATGGGAGGGGGGAGAGGGGGAGGAGTGGTAGCCATGAGAGGCGACGGCGGGTGGACCCGCGGCGGCCTCGAGGTGGACGGCGGCGGGTGGACCCGCGGCGGTCAAGGGGGAGGGCGACGGCGGGTGGACCCGCGGCAGCCGAGAGGGAGGAGGGGGGGGGGGGGAGGGGGGAGGTGCTGCTGCTGGGAGTGGAGCTCTTCTCCGGCTGCTGCTGCTGCTGCCGCTGCTGCCGCTGCTTCCGGCTGCTGCTGCTGCTGCCGCTGCTGCCGCTGCTGCCGCTGCTGCCCAGCAGCTGGATCAGGAGCAGGTGCGAAGAAGTTTGGGACCGGGGCACGAAGGAGGGAAGAAACCAAGGGGACACAATCGCGGCAGCCAATCAAGAGGTGAAGCCCTGCCTCGATTCCGCACATTGAGAAATGTGTTACACAAGACGGGTTTACCATGAATTTGACACGCTGGCTTTGATCTCACCCTCTTTGTTTTGAGAATCTCGAGATTGACACGCTAGCGTTGATATCACCTTCTCCTGTTTTTTTGCTCGTTTAGTAGAGTGTTGTTGCCTATTAGGCTACCCAGCCAGGTAACCAGCCAATTAGTGCAGCTAAGCTCAGGTGGCAGTCGGAATACATGAGTGACTGAGGCCCGAGGGGTGAGAGGGAGCCATCCCAAGGCAGGCAAAGCAAGGCAGAGCGCCAGAAGGGAGGGAAGACGGCAGCAGAAAAGATGGGGACGAGCAAGAGAAGGATCCAAACAACACCTGAAGCTGATCTTTTAGCATTTTTTAGTCGACTCAAAAGTCAACTCGGGAGTGAAGACAGCAGCACGGAAGATGGGGACGAGCAAGAGAAGGATTCGGACAACACCTGAAGCTGATCTGTTCACAAAAGTGGTGTACTTACGCGTGGATAGAGGATGGCTCACAGGAAGGTGAGGGAGGAGAGACAGCTGACGGCGGTGGGTATTGAACCTGAGAGCTGGTTCTTAGCGAGATGCCTGGGTGGGTGGTATTGGGGAGGAGAGTGGAGGGGTGGGTGAGGGGGTTGGGAAGGAAAGGACGGAATGAAGGTGGTACAGGACACGAACTGGTTCTTTATTAGTGAGAAACCTCAATGGTACTGAGGTGAAGAGTGAGGGACGATGGGAGGGGGGACGGAGAGGCGGGAGGGGGATGGGACGATAGGGTGCTTTGTCAGTTGGCCGAACGCCTTTCGGTTTAAGGCGTCTTTATTGTTTGGTATAAAGTTGCCCAGAGGATAGCCTGGAGAAGATAGGGCGCAAGAGGTAAAAGCAAGAGTATTAGGCCCCAGAGTTTAAAGCCCGGGAGTATAGGTTCATGAACACCTATTGGCTTGTGTTGTTTCGTGTACCCCAAAGGAATGCTTCCCTGGTACACTCGACGGAGGTGACTTGTCGACTCAAAAAGCCAACCCAAAATTCAACCTAGACCGCAAACTGTCAGGTTAACCTAGACCGCAAAAGCCCAATACAGACAAACATGCGGCACGAACAGATACTCCAAGTTCACAAGAGTTGAGAGGGCTGCAGGGATGGATCCACTGAGCTTGTTGTCACCCAGGCTCCTGCTTACAATGAATAAGTTTGGGGAATAAAATGACACGGTCAGAGGGGTGGGGCGTGGAACCATGCTAGTATAGAATTCCAGTAGTAGCACCAGCCCAGGGCTTACTGATTGACCAGAGAATGAGGATCTAAAATGAGTCAGCCGAGCATAGGTTTGAGGTAAGGAAGGAATAGAAGTTACATTCAAATATTTGAGCGTCAGGTTGGGGTGATTGCACAAAAAAACAAAAAAAGGATGCAGATTGAGGTGACTGCTACAATATCATGAGCTTCGTCAGAAGCCCGGAATGCCCAAGGATGCCTCACATAACATCCCAGGAAACTTCAGGTGCTTTCAACAGAGCTTACAGGTATCTCAAGTGCACGAGCTGTCCAATAGCAGATGGAATAGATCCTTCTAGCCCAATAGATTTGAGAATTCTGAAAAAAAAAAGGCAAACAAACAAACAAACAAAAAAAACAATAAAGGGGGAGGGGGGGAGGAGGAGGGAGGAGGGGAGGGAGGGGGTGGGAAGTGGGTTAATAGAAGGGGGGGCGATTGGTGCAATGACTTCAAGCTGGAGTAGGGGAAAAACGGGAGGGATCAGCAAGATAATGAGAACGATGTGATGTGAGTTTAGAAACAAAGGAGACGGAGTCATAGAGGCGTGCGATCGGAGTGTTGGAGGAGGAATGAGCAAGCATAGTTCTTGTGGTGCCACGTCAGCACTCACAAAGCTCCCACCATCCCTTCGGAGTCACAGTTCAGCCCCTCGGCGCGCAAGCAGTCAGCGTGCACAAGGTTTCGCCATCCGCTAAAGTTGCGACCCCATTCGCGCTCGCACTCTAGCAGCGGAGGAACTGGGGAAAATCAGGGGAGATTACCAAGGGAAGAGCCACGCCTGAAATATTTCAAGGCGGTGAAAAGCCTGCTTTCATACTTAATTCGGCCTGTTTTGTTTTCATGTAGTTGTCTAACGAATTCAAATGAAGGTAAATGTAGATAATTTTGGAACCTCTTGTTACAATCTTCTCATGCGTTTTGTAAGGAACTACAAATCCTTTCTGTAGGCTCTCAATATCGGAGATTTTCAGAGGTTCTCACGTCAGTTGGGTTCGGCCTATTATTTCGGCCCGAACCACTCCCGAGGCGCCACCGCACCATTCGTCACCTTTCCGAGCCTCGTTTTCCCCAAGGTCCTCGCCTAGCTCGTTCGTGCCTATTTCACCCTCGTTTTAGACATTTCATAGTACGTTATATAGTTCATGAAACCCGCGCACTCATAATACCTTTCTTGACTACGTTTCCGACGATAAAGAATCCTAGGGGTAAGACAATTCAACCACAAATTTGAACTAAACCTACCGCATCCTCACCTTGAGATGGGTCGAATCTCTGCTGCCCGACACAGGGACTGCCAAGAAGGATATGAAGGCTGACCTCCACAGCTACCAGCCTGATAAGTTTGGAAAAACGGCCATGCCTTGAAATATGTGAATCTAAGCCCATTGTTGCATCTCGACGGTTATTGCTGTTAATATGTACGGTTACACTCCTGCCGGCGCTGGTTTTAATATTGCTGTTTATGCACGGTAAAGGTATAATTGCTCCATCCGCGGCTGTCCGATGTTCGCGAACGCGTTGCGATTCGCGAAAGCGAAGACCTCTGTACACGTACGAAAGAAATCTCCTACCGCAAAGCTAGAGGTCCGAGGTTGAATGCCTCTACTTCACTCTAACAGAGCTTGAGATTTCAAGGACTGAACGCTCCCATCACCCGACATGACAAACGCATGAACACAGAAGACGGGAGACGTCACGGCCTCACAATTACGATTTTGCCATGTTCGCTACCTTATGTTTCCTGTCACGCTTCAAAGACTGCCTACGCAATGACTCATTCGTGCATGCCGCCAGTGAAAAGAGGTTCAAGGACAAAAAATGAATCAATTAGACAGTCGAGCTCAAGAAGCAGTAGTAACATGATGGGGGACACTGAATTACGTGCAAGGAAGTGGTAAAAGCACACGAGAGGGGAAATCTTGATGCAGAAGCGCGGTTCTTGAACTGCGTGAAATGGTGAGGCTACGCTGGCTCGCTGGCTCCCTGGTGAAATGGAGTGTCGGCACGGCAACACCTGTGGAAATGCTCTCTCCTCTACCTTCACCTTCCCTCACCTTTCATGTTGACCTGAAACGCCAGCACAAAAAACGGAGGATCGAATGCGTGGATTGCCATTTCACAAGGAAAAGGTGCAGCAGAGGGGGTATTTGGAGGATGCAGCAGAAGACCTACAATTTGCTTGCACAGGACGGGTCACAGAGCAAATTGGCCTGCTGTGCGACAAGGAGAGCAGCGTATTGCACTCCCTAGCCAATCCTCTTTCGCCGACATTTGTACCCCCTGGAAGCACACTCGCTTTCAGTGGGATACCTCAAAATGAGAAAGTGTTGCACCAGTAGAAACCAGTAACCTAATAACGGATTCCAGATGCCCAAGGCTAATGAGTGACTAGTGAGCGGCCCTTTTTTGCACATGTCAAAGGACAGAAACCACCACAAGCCAAGGCTACCACCCCTCATCAGTGCTAAGCCAGTAACGAATCTGGATTCACGGTTTTCATTATTGAAAGCTTAGCACAAGCAACTGTTATGGTGGGCCTGCATTCTTCACAATCCAAGGATGCTCTGAAAAATCGGGCAGGGAGAGAAGAGAGACAAGACAAATATGAAAGCACGACAGGGCTGCTGGAGTGACAGGAAAAAACAAACTTCCACAACCAAGGCAACACCACAAAGTCTCAAAAGCAGCGTTCCTTTCCTGGGCAAAGACCAAGCTTACCCAGAATCTCTTCAATCGTGATGCGCTTTTTAGGGTTACGGTTGAGCATCTGGCGAACAAGGTCCTTTGCGTCCTCCGAGATATTGGGCCACGGCGGGCGAACGAGGTTGAGCGTGGCCTCTTTGATCGCCTCAAAGATGGCCTCGTTGGTGGTGCCCCAGAAGGGCGGCAGGCCGCACAGCAGGATGTAGAGCACCACTCCCGCACTCCAGATATCAGCTTCCGGACCGTATTTTTCTGCCAGGACCTCTGGTGCGAGGTAGTAGGGGCTGCCCGCCATGTCCGTGCACGGCTTGCCTGGAGGAGCATGGGAGGAGCAGGGATGAGGAGATGATGGGAGATGAGGGGATATGAGGGGAGATGAGGGGATATGAGGGGAGATGAGGGGATATGACGGGAGATGAGGGGAGATGAGAGGAGATAAGGAAGATGAAGGGAGTTCCTTCAATGTTCCCCCCTCTGGGGAGGGTGGGGGGGCGAGGGAGGGACGGAGGGAGGGAGATGGAGAGGGAGAAGAAGGTCCATCACCTTTTGGTCCATCCGCACTCACAGGATCACACTCACTCGCATACTCACGCTCAATCACACACCAACGCCCGCACACACACAGACTTACCTCGTTGGAAGAATGTCGCAACGCCGAAGTCTATCACTTTCAGCTCCGTATCCGACTCCTTGCTGTTGAGCAGAATGTTCTCGGGGGGTGCATGACCTCCAACATCCATACACACATACACCCATTCACAACCCCACACATTCTCACCTCGTTGGAAGAAGGTGGCAACACCAAAGTCGATCACTTTCAGCTCTGTATCCGATTCCTTGCTGTTGAGCAGAATGTTCTCGGGCTTTAAGTCGCGGTGCATGACCCCCAGCTCGTGGCAGTGCTGCAGCACGCCCATCACCGTGCGCAGCACCCGGGCGCCCTCCCCCTCGCTGAACTTGCCCTTGGCTTTAATTCGGTCAAACAGCTCCCCGCCCTCACACAGCTCCATCACCAGATGCACGTCCTGCGGAGAGAGGTGTTGGGGGGGTTTGCGGCACGGAAGGAGACAGGGGGGAGTGAGGGAGGTTGCTCCCTCCGCCTCGCTGAACTTGCCCTGGGCCTTGATGCGGTCAAACAGCTCTCCCCCCTCACACAGCTCCATCACCAGATGCACGTCCTGCGGGGGTTGTGTGTGGGAGAACGGGGAAGGAAATGAGGGAGAGGGTGGTGGGGCGTGGGGTGGAGGCTGCTCCCTTGGTTGGGCCTTGATGCGGTCAAACAGCTCTCCGCCCTTCACACAGCTCCATCACCAGATGCACGTCCTGAGGGGAGAGGGGGAAAGGGGGTAGGGGTGCGGGGATGGTAGGGCGTGGGGTGAAGGCTGGCCCCTTGATTGGGTTGGGCCTTGAGGCTGGGCCCCTCACACAGCTCCATCACCAGATGCACGTCCTGAGGGAGGTGGTGTGGGGCGGGGGGGGGAGAGGGGGAGATGAAGAACAAAGGGAAGAGACAGGGAGCAGATGGTAGGGAGTGAGACAGAGGTTGCTCCCTCCGCCTCGCTGAACTTGCCCTTGGCT